ATATATATATATATATATATATATATATATATATATATATATATATATCCTGAAAATTTATTCTGGTTGAACTCTCTGGGTAAGAAGTGTGGGTTTGTAAACAGTGACAATTACGGCTAATAATGCAAGACTCTTCGGTAAATAAAATCGATTTCTCTCAGTCACTGTATGTTTATCTAAAAATAAATACGCTTAAATTCACCTTAATCCCTGCCGTGCGCCAACGGCTTAGTGGTAAGATCCCCCCACTGACGCCAATTCAGTCCTAGCTAGATTCAACGGACGTCTAGCCACACTGATGAGCTGTGATACAGGGAAACAGTCTGTCTGTCTGTCTGTCTGTCTCTATCTTTTCCTCTCTCTCTCTCTCTCTCTCTCTCTCTATATATATATATATATATATATATATATATATATATATAAAACGTACACACATTTAGGCAGTATATCTTTATTCAACCATTTTTGGTTGAAGAATCGTTACATATTATGCCTGTTTCTTTACTCGTGACATATTATGCCTATTTATTTTTACTTTTATGCTAAGGAAGGAGTCGTAGTTTTTTTTTTTTTCATTTCTTTTATTTTACCACGTACTTTCAATCTCATCTTCAGTCACCGCTAGATCAATTACGACTGATTTGTGAGTTTCTTCTCCTTTCGCCTTGTTCCACATATAAGCTACGCTTAGAAAATCCCTATATCTTGAGGCAGTTCGCCGCGATATAATGCTTAGGATGCTTATTTCGATAGATCAATTACGACTGATTAATGAGAACTTTCCTCACAGGGTGCTCCATCCATTCAGCCTCGTGTCACATCTAAGTTACGCTTACTAAACTGCCATATATACTTTTAGTTTTAAGTACAGATATATTTAAACACAAGCAATTACAGATATACATGTTTATATATGTATGCGTGAATTTATCATCAGTAATTTTGTATAAATATATATATATATATATATATATATATATATATATATATATATATATAAATTTTATATTTTAAATTTGAAAGGAATTTCCTCGGTGTTCCCTTTTGAAATTCTCAATTAAGGATGTTTCTGTAGCGTAAGACTACTTGACAGGAACGCCGTGAGATTGTTTCCGTTTGGGAAAAGCTGATCATAAATATTCCGGGTTCAAAGCTATTTAGTGACTAATAACATCCCGCCTGTCTAATTGTGTTGACACGTTTTTCCGGCTTGTAATTATGGTTCGAAGCAGGCTTTCCAGTTCCCGCTTCAGTCTAGCATTCCTGATTGTCTATATCTCAGTGCTAAACAAATTGCATTGGGTAATTTCCTTACATTTCAGTACTCAAAATTCAACGGTTTTCGACATACAATATAATTCAGGTATTATAGACTGAAATTTGAAATTCAAATTAACCTAATAACTGTCTCGAGCTATTGACATATTACGACATTTATGCATGCATACCTACATACGTATAGGGCACCTCGGCGTGGTGTAAAGGTTAGCAAGCTTGTCTTGCTAGATCAGTTACTACTAAAAAGTGAGTTCGATCCTCACTGGGTGCCCCATACTTTCGGCCTTGTGCCACATCTAAGCTATGCTTGGAAAATAACTCTACGTTTTGTATTTGGGCACCTCGGCGTGGTGTAATGGTAAGCAAGCTGGTTTCGCTAGAACAGTTGCGACTTAGTAGTGAGTTCGATCCTCACTGGGTGCCCCATACTTTCGGCCTTGTGTCACATCTAAGCTATGCTTGGAATATCGCTACATTTTGGGCACCTCGACGTGGTGTAACGGTTAGCAAGCTTATCGCGCCAAAACAGTTACGAGTAGTGAGTTCGATTCTCACAGGGTGCTCCATACTTTCGGCCTTGTGCCACATCTAAGCTGCGCTTAGAAAATCATTTGGGCACCTCGGCGTGGTGTAATGGTTAGCAAGCTTGTCGTCCTGCTAAAACAATTACAACAGAGTAGGGAGTTCGATCCTCACTGGGTGCTCCATACTTATGGCCTTGTGCCACATCTAAGCAGCGCTTAGATAATCTCTACGTACATACATACATCCAAAGATATATATATGAATCATTTAGAAAGTTGGTATACGAAACTGAGTAGATACACATGTTTCGATAGACTGAAAATGATTTCTGCTCATAAGTCACTATGCAACTCTATTTAACCGTTGACCCCCTCAGGGGACCAGATACACTAAATCTCGTCTAATGTAACGACGGTTTCTCCTCCCAGGGGGTGGGGTGCAGGCTCGAATCCTGTCAGCGATCACTTTTTTCCTTTAATAACATTTCCCGAACATTCAAGTCGGTAAACGAAAATAAATAAATATGCATTTAATACAAAAGCAAAACGTTTACTCAAATACGTGTAAAAAATCATAGGTATTATATATATATATATATATATATATATATATATATATATATATATATATATATATACCTAGTGAGCCGACAAACCTACCTAGGTTTCACCTAAACGGATCGTCAGGGAAAGTAAGG